GGGTGGGAATATGTCTCGACACTTGTCATATGTTTGCAGCAGGTACATGAACAGCATCTGAGCATGCGCGGGACTATATTCTTAATCGCCCTTTCAGGTTACGATATCAGGACCCAAGAGACGTATAATGCGACACTCACCAGCTTTGACCGCATCGTTGGGCTCAAATATCTGCGCGCGATGCATATAAATGACAGTAAATGCCCACTTGGATCCAAGAAAGATCGCCACGAGAACCTTGGAAAGGGGGAAATTGGGCTGGAGGCGTTCAGGTGCATCATGAATGATGAGAGAATGAACGGAATTCCGCTTGTGCTTGAGACGCCTGAGCGGGACGGTGACATGGGTTATAAGGAGGAAATCGATATTCTGTATGGATTAGTTGAGAGTAAATGAATACTGAGCCGTTATTTTTGTTGAAATCTCCTTGTTCGCGTGCATGGAAACCTCTTATAGGCAGGACCATAGACTCTATTACCGTGTGGGATTTCCATAAAGACATCCTAACTGAAGGTACGCATGGGAGAGTGTGCAGCGGGGTTTGCAAGTGTCTGTCGACAGAACGCATGCATTTCAAAGCAATGTATGGATGCATGACGAGTCTCTCATGAATGCAACTAATGATGTCTAATGGTTATATACAATCCGACATGATGAAATCTATCAAAACACCTCAACAGGTATGGTTGGGTCTGAGAAGTGAGACACTCCTACTTCTCATTACCAGAGCCGGCGCCCTTTGCGGCGTCCTCTGCCTTTTTGGTCAAAAGTCTTGCCATCGCATTTCGCAGATTTTTCTCTGCAACAGCTGTGCCATTTTGCACGGCAAGCTTGTACTCTTCAACCGCTTTTTCCAGACGACCCATAGAGTCGAGAACGACGGCATAATTGTAGTGGATTTCGCCGTCATTGGGTTCCAGACGAAGGGCCTCCTCGTAATGGGAGAGGGCTGTTTCGGGGTCTTTGAGGATCAATGCATGAACATTAGCAATATTTACGTGGGCATCGCTGCGGTTTGGAGAGAGCTCCAAGGACTTTTTCCATGACTTGATGGCCGCCTCATGTCTCCCTGAGAATTACATGATGGTTAGTAAAGAACTGAAATCCATATGACAGGTGTAGCACCTTACCTAGTTGCAGTTGACAGTTTGCAATATTGTAGTAAGCGTCCCCAGTCGCCTTGGTCCATGCCGACTTTTCAAAGCAATCCAATGCTCCATGGAGATCCTGGGTAAACCGTGTATCAATTATTGATGGTCATCTTCATTCCACTAATACCACAGAGCGCTTTGCCTACATCATTGTTCCATTTTTGTGTGCCTTCGTTGAACCATTCCCTTGCCTTTATCGTCTCTGGATCTGCTGCTGTGACAGAGTCACTGGAATGCGACGCATAGTGTCGGGTGGTGCTGCTAAACCCTGCAAACCGTGACAGCGATAAGAATTGAGAATGCATCCTTGTATCCTAGCTAGCACATACGCAGACGCTGCGCATGACGGTGCGGCTATCGGTGCAGCTACACGCTGGACAAGAACTGGAGAGATCTATCAATCGTCCGCACCCCATCACATTCTGGCGCTGACAAAAAACCTTACGTCTTGGCACATAACCTGTGGTGCGACGGAATGTGTGAAACAGCGGTCGCCTGCAGGCAGTCAAAAGTCGTAGCGAAGCAGACATTTTGTTACGATGAAAATCTCGTCAGTTTCTGTTAAAAGTGTTCAACATTTCTTGGACGATCTGTCTTGCACGTGCCCCCCAACAGATCGCCGCGTTCGTCCCAAGCCCTTCAACCGTCTTCTACCTTCCTTCTCCCATTTCTTTGCCCTCGACCAAACTTTGACAAAATGACTGGTCCGGTGAACGCAGACCTCTACTCGGACGTCAAGATTGCCATTATTGGCGGATCGGGGCTTTATCACTTGGACAATTTGAAGGTTCTCGGCGAGATTAACCCGGAGACTCCTTGGGGACATCCGAGCGACAAAATCATTATTTCCGAGACGCCCGACGGCCACAAGATTGCCTTTCTCGCCCGACACGGTCGTGGGCACTTTTTGAATCCGAGCGAAGTGCCTGCGCGAGCAAACATTGCCGCCCTCAAGCACATTGGCGTAGAGGTTATCCTCGCATTCTCCGCTGTCGGCTCCCTCCGCGAAGAGATCAAGCCCAGGGACTTTGTTCTGCCATCTCAAATTGTGGATAGGACAAAGGGCATTCGACCCTCAACTTATTTCGAGAATGGTGTAACAGCCCATGTTGGATTTGCTGATCCTTTTGATAAAGAATTGTCGGACATTATCTTCGCCCAGGGTAACGTTTGCGAAGGGGTGACATTCCACACGAATAAAACCCTTGTCTGCATGGAAGGACCAGCCTTTTCCACTCGCGCAGAGTCACATATGTACCGGTCGTGGGGATGCGATATTATTAACATGTCTGTACTCCCTGAAGCAAAGCTGGCTAGAGAGGCTGAAATTGGATACCAAATGGTCTGTATGTCAACCGACTACGATTGTTGGAAGGAAACGGAGGAAGCCGTCTCCGTGGAGGCCGTCATTGCGAACTTGGGTGCAAACTCGGATAACGCAAAGAAGCTACTCTTGGCAGTCATCCCAGCTGTGACCAAGGCTTTGGACGCAGGAGAGCTCAAAAGTGTGGCGGCGTTGCAAGGTGCGAACAAGTACGCTGTCATTACCTCTAAAGAAAAGCGCAACGCGGAGCAACTGAAGAAATTGGAGTATCTTCTCCCTGGCTATTTTATTTGATTGTCTAGTGTAGAGTGATTATGTAGATTCGATAGAGGCAGCTACCCTTCGATCGAAGCTAGATGACTTTTACTTTCATCGTCATAAGAATCATTGTAATATTAACTTTTACCGTTTGGATTGCCTCAACATAAAGGCCAAAGAGAATCTTGACTGGAAAGACTTTGTGCCTCCCATGGGACTTGACAATAATGCCACCCGCACAAACAACATCTGTAAATTACAAACCTTTTGATCGAATGACCATATAATAAAGAATCCGATATTTCGTTCATTACTGGCTGGTTGAGTTGACCACTATGAAAGAAGAACCAGGGTTCTTCCTATGCGGATTGTCTGTTGGTGTTCGAAAACCTAACTGGAGAGCTGCCATGAAAGCAGAAAAGGAGCCACGCCAGGGCGATCAAAGTCTGGCGGGCATAGTCTAAGAACGCGTCGCAACATAGTGCGGAGCCGGTGGGTATTGGCACTAGTACAGTGATTCCAACCAATTGAATCATAATTTTACTCGATTTAGACTCATGAACTATGATTTGATAATGGTTCGATGCACAAACGATGCTCCACCATTGAAAAACGGGTCCAATATGTGCGGCAATGAACGGATTGAATATTCTGCAGTTGCTCCACCATTGAAAAACGGGTCCAATGCGCAGTTGTCATATCTCTATATAAACCCGCCTTCTCTGCCCATTTCCCAGGTTTTCATCATTCTCTGCCGATAGGCTTTCATCATTCTCTGCCCATTTTCCAGGCTTTCATCCATTTTTCTATTCCAATCATCATGCCGCCAAAGAAAAAGCAAAAGCTTGAAAAACTTGACAAACCCACCTTACATACCTGCAACAAAACTTCCTTTGCAAAAGCTTTCCTGCCTAATGAGACCTACCACCAACGGCTTCTAGATTACATCACCATCATCCATCAATGTAACAGGCTAGCAGGGACAAGAAGACAACAGAAAACTAGGGAAGACTTGGTTACTCTTGTTATTCTCCTTTGAGGGGCCTCAGAGAGGTCCTCTTTTTATAGACAAAGGGGCTGACAAATGCTATATCCTAACTACCCAATCAGATCTCACCCACATCATCCTAAACTATTTGTCAGCCTATTGCACCATTTGCAACCAATCAGAACTCATACATGTCATCCTAAACTATTTGTCAGCCTATTGCACCATTTATAGCCAATCAGAAGTGAGACAAGTCATCCTAAATACACTGTGCCACTTGATTGAAAGGGGCAGATGCCAGTGTGTCAGAATACTCATCTAATTTAGCCAGAAATGGCTAAATCTGCTTATTTATCTAATTCTGGTCAAATGAATGCTGACACCATCAGCAAAGTCATGTGCCCACTAGTTTGGAACCACATCTAACCAGTATAACCATAGCACTGACAGAAGAATTCTGTCACACTCCCCCACTTTAAGATTAAGCTCCCTTCTGGGCTAGGAACTCCTTCAAGATTTCTCTGCCATGGGGTAGGAGGTTTTCTTCTGGTTCCCAGGTGTTCTGAGAGGAGGGATAGCCTTTCCACTTGATGAGGTAGAGATTCTTCTTCCTTCTGGTCTTGTGGTCAAGAATCTTCTCAACTTCCCAAAACTCTTCTCCTTGCTGGATAATTGGCTCAGGCTCAGGGGGTACTGGTCTGGTAGGGAAGTCCTCTGTGGGGTCCAAGTAAGGCTTGAGGAGTCTCACATGGAACACTGGATGAATCTTCATGGTGCTGGGGAGCTCCAGGGTGTAATTCTGAAATTCATCCTTGGCCTTGATTCTGTAAGGTCCAAGCCAGGGGTGAAGAAGTTTCTGGGCTGGCCTCTGGGCTTCTTCTTCTGGGGTGATACCTTCTCTAGACAGCCAAACTTTGGAGCCTAGGGGGTAGCTTGGGGCCTTGCTGAGAGACTTGTTGGCTTGCTGAACTTGTCTTTCTTGGGCCAGTATCATGTTATCCTTGGCTACTTGAAGCAGTTGCTGAATATACTGGTGGAAGTCTGTTGCTTCAAGATCATTGCTTTCTCCTGGTGGTGTTGCTGGGGTCCTGGGATGCCGGCCATTCTCCAAGTAGAATGGGGTAGAGCCTGTGGTTTCTGAGATACTGTTGTTGTAGGTGAACTCAGCAAAGGGGAGAAGATCTTCCCAATTCTTCATGTTGTACTGCAGGAAAGCTCTGAGGTAAATCTTCAAAGTCTTGATGGTTCTCTCTGCCTGTCCATTGGTCTGCTGGTGCCTTGCAGTGGCTAGGAGGGTGTTGCAGCCTAAGAGTTGCATCAAGTTGGACCAGAATGAACTGGTGAACTTGGTGTCTCTGTCTGATACAATCACTTCTGGGAGGCCATGGTGCTTGAAGATGTGCTTCAAGAAGAGCAGGGCCAGGTCCTTGGCTGAGGCTCTGGTGGTGGTAGGGATGAAGTGGCCTCTCTTTGACAATCTGTCAACAATGACAAAGATGGCATTGTGATCAGAGGAAGTCATAGGTAGGTCAGGGATCAGGTCAATGGAGATCTGGCTCCATCTGGTCTTAGGTACTGGGAGGGGCTGCAGCAAGCCTGCTGGTGGTTGCTGACTAGGTTTGCTTCTCTGGCAGGAATCACAAGACTTGACATACTTCTTAATGTCCTTGTACATCCTTGGCCAGTAGTAATGCCTTGCTAGGGCATCATGGGTCTTGGTGATGCCAAAGTGTCCAGCATATTGAGTGTCATGGGTTTCTTGGAGTAGGCTCAACCTTAGGTCTGGGTCACTAGGAACAAAGATCCTGTCCTGGAAATAGAGTAACCCATCCTGATGGCTGAGGTACTTGAGCCTTTGTTGCTGGTCTTCTGGTCTCCTGGGGTCATCCAAAGCTTGGATGAGCTCTTGAAGTTCTGGGTCTTCTGTGGTACTGGTCTTCAATCTCTCTTGAAGGGTGCTGGTGGTGTGGGTCACAGCATTCAACTCTGCTGTCACCAAGGCCTTGCACTTGATGCATCTTGGGGCCAGGTCTGGTCTTCTAGACAGGATGTCTGCCACTGTGTGGAGTCTTCCTGGGCCATAGCCAATCTCAAAGTCAAAAGATTGGAAATTCATGACCCATCTGGCTTGTCTTCTGGTCAAGAAGGGCTGGTTCTGTAGCCACTTGAGGGACTGGTGGTCTGAGATAACTTTGAAGGGGGTTCCTTCCAGGTAGGGCCTCCAAACTCTGAGGGCATCATGGATGGCTAACAGCTCTTGTTCTCTGGTGTCATATCTGGTCTCTGCTGGAGCCATCTTCCTGGAGTGGTAGGCAACTGGTCTCATGCCTTTCCCATCATCCTGTCCAAGCCATGCTCCAACTGCATAGCCTGAGGCATCAGGGAAGACAGTGGTAGGCAAGGCTGGGTCAAAGGGTCTGAGTACAGGGGCTTTGGTGACCATATCCTTCAGCTGCTGAAAAGCTTTCTCCTGAGGTTCAGACCAGGTCCAGGGCTTGTCATTTCTCAACAGGTCTGTCAATGGTGCAGCTTGCTCTGCCAGGTCCTCCAGAAAGCTATGGAAGTAGTTCACCAGGCCCATGAACTGTCTGACTTCAGTGACACTCTGAGGGGTGGGCCATTCTTGAACAGTCTGCACTTTCTTGGGATCAAGCTTGACTCCTTCATGTGAGACTACATGGCCAAGAAACTCTACTTCTTGCTTGAGGAACTGGCACTTGCTGGGGTTGGCATACAGCTTGTTCTGCCTGAGGGCTTGCAGAACCTGCTTGAGGTGGTCCAGGTGATCTTCTGGGGTCTTGGAGTAGATGAGGATGTCATCTAGGTAGACAATAACAAAGATGTCCAAGAAGGGTCTAAGGACATCATTCATCAAAGTCATGAAAGTGGCTGGGGCATTGGTCATTCCAAAGGACATGACCAGGAACTCAAAGTGACCATATCTGGTTCTGAAGGCTGTCTTGGGGATGTCTTCTGGGTGGACTCTGATCTGGTAATAGCCTGACTTCAGATCTAGCTTGGTAAACACCTGGGCTCCATTCAGCCTATCCATCAGCTCATCAATCCTAGGGAGGGGATATCTGTTCTTGATGGTGATTTTATTCAGAGCCCTGTAGTCCACACACATCCTCAAAGACCCTTCTTTCTTCTTAACAAAGAGGATAGGTGCTCCAAATGGGCTCTTGGATGGTCTGATGTGGCCTGCCTCCAGAAGTTCTGAAAGCTGCTTCCTCAGTTCTTCTAACT